ACAACTGATCTTTAGAATTTCACAATCGATTATGAGCGGAAGGTAATTATCCCGTATTGTGCAAAATAATAAGTAAAGTAATTACATTTTGGAAGACGTACTGTGCCAAAGGAGAACAAGAAATCAGCGTCTACAGTGTAACATTTAAAGCTGACCGTTTCGAAGTGCCAGATAAAGATAAACATCGTAGAAATGAAGTGAGCGGAAACATTAGAAATAGCAATTTATGGACATTTTCCATGAAACGAAATATCCTTCTTGTTTTATAATTTAGAATTTCTCTATTGTTGTTATTGGTCTAAGCATTTTAAGATACTCTTAAAATTGATTTTAATACTTGTCATTTATGAATTAATTCTATTACTCACTAGCAATAGTGACAGGTAATGCAAGAAATATTGGTTGTTACCTATATAGTCATAAAATGTTTATATGAATTAATAATATTATATAAGTAACAATAAAAGAAAAACAACCGTAGACTTACCACTTGTTATTTCTTGCCCTTACAGTATTGCTAGTTAAGTTTTAAAAATTCACTGACAAATGTTTTGGTACATTATTATTTCTTTCAGAGAAGAAAAAGAAGCTGCACTGCAGCAATTTATTTGTAAAGTTATTATTGTATAAGCAAAGTTGTAAACAATTACAATAGATGACAATGATGCCTTCAACAGTCATAAATTGTTTCATTTAAGAAGAAATAGATCATTTTATTTAATAAGACAAAAACTTTGTTTTTAATTTTTATCTTTTGACTTATCAAACAATTATAAAACTACTAACATATTTTTATTAAATACATTTACTACACTAGAACATCCAAAGTGCAAATACCTATTTATCATTAGATGTAATAGTTTGTTGTAACAAAAAAATGTAAACATCATAACAATTATCGATTTCAATGAGTCGCGTCGACTAATTCCAATCCGTCAATATTTTGGTTTGTTTCCCCTTTAATTGAATGATAGATATACAAATATATTCAGTAATTTCCCAAGGGCACAGTTAATCAATTGAACTGATTGTGAACTGTAGAAATGTCATTTTAGATGTATTTTAAAGTGTAAGTAATAGTTTTAGTCGCATAACTGCTGAATTAAAGTTCTGTATTCTAATATTGATTAATCAGCGATTTATGTTCTTAACAATACTTAGAAAGCTATAATTGTAGGGTTATTTGTCTCAACTGCTGCACGCGCAATTGACAGGTAAAACTTCTTATAATTTGACAAACTTAATAAACATGAACGCGGAACTGTTATTCATTTACATTATAGCTTTAGAAAGCTCCTTATGTTTTGACTTCGAATATAAAAATGAGGGAAGCTATCCATTGAACGTCTTGATCAAGTTTAAAGCGTAAAGATGTATGTATTTTAATGTAAAAAAAACTTTGCTTCGTTTAAATCGACATGCTAAAAATAAGAACACAAAGATCACAAAAAGACAGATAGGCACCAATAAAATGTATCTGTTGGCAGTACCAAGTCATTTAGTATCACGGGAAAGGCATTCAGAGAAAGCCAGACTGGTGAGTGGCAAACACAGCTAAGCAATGAGAATAAGACAAAACTATTTAAAGCAATTGTATACTAGTATAAAAGTTTGAGTTTAATCGTATACCTATACAAATACAGTCCGAAACTGGAGTGCAGTTATTACCTGCACTTCAATTACAGCACTGTCCGTCGTGGAAATATAGTATGCTAATTGACTGGCTACATTTTTCCGAGATTAACTTATTGTGACGACAGGGAAAGGGATCACGATGGAAAAGTCACATCCAGATGCCGAATATTGGTTACTTATTTTTGGGACATATTGTGACGACAGGGAACGTGTTTTTACCAATGCCTTTGATGCAAAAGAGAAAGAACATTAAAACTCTCGGTAATTTAAGTTATATCTGGGGCTTTGCTCCCTTGTTCTAAAGTTTCGATGCTGTTATCATTACCTAAGAGAGAAATAAGATTTTTAACTAGTTTAGGTGATGAATACTCTCTTTAACCAGTGCTTAGGTTTGGACGGTAGCTTGCAATTACTTCTACCGTCCAAGAACATGCTTTTCTAAGCAGAGCATGGAATATTTTCTGTTTTGGCGATTTGTGTGTTCTTAGGAATTGTGCTTTTCTCTACTTTAAATGAAACCTTTACGCCCTAATGAAATCCAATTCTTCCGTTAGAAGTGGATTAAAATTTAAGAAGAGAGATATATCAACAAACGAAATAATGATAAAAAATCGCCTTTACTCTTGCTTTTGTAATGTTCTATTATCAGTAACTGTTATAAAATGAAACAGAGTGATAAGATCAATATATGTGTCATGGAATGCAAAAATGGGGTTTCTTGACCAAATTTTTGATTTTCACTTTTTTTAATTTTCTAAATCTATGAAATATCAGAAGTAATTTCTGAAAATTTGAAGGTCGTGTCTTTCTTATTTACAAAGATATACATAAGTTTGTGAGTATGGTGTCCAGTAAGTAATTAAAAATACACATTAAAATCTTTGATCTTTGTGATGTTTAAAGGTGCATGAGGAAAACAACTTTTGAAGCTAAAATGAATTTTGTGAAAAAATTGTTTTATGTTATTAAAGTTAAAAAATGTTGAGGAATATTTTTGGAATACAGCCACCATAATTAAAGCATCAATTACATTATGTTGCCTAGCAACGGACCTATTCCTGGGTTCTTTCTGGCCTTTTTCGTGTAAAAAGTTATGTGCTAGATTTATTTTATAACACTTGCAAGTATCAATTCGAAATATATTCTTCTTTCACAGTGTCCATTTATCATTCATTTATTAACTTTATTCAGATATTTACCCTGACAGCAGACAACAGTAAATGAAAGATGACTCAAGTATAACATCATCAAAGGTAGTAACACTAAATAAAGGGCATAATTACACAAATACAACATGAAGGAAGCTATATTCTGTTACCTAGCAACCATGGAATATTCTAAATTTTTGTAATTTTTTTGTAAATATACAAATTTCTTGGTAAAATACAGCTAACAAAGTAGCAGAAATAAAAAAATTTTCAATAAAATTATAAACAATACCTATTAATTACTTTTCAATAATTTTCCATTGAAGATATAACATAGAATCCATGTTCTGTACACTTGACTAGTGTTAGTAAGTTATGCAAATTTTAGCAGAACTCAGTATTTTTGCCATGTATATTGCTCTGTATGTTTTACAATAACCAATAAGCATTTGATCAAATCACTGTTACTTTCAATATTACATAAATATATCTATCTGCTGTCTAACTGATTTACATAATACCTAAGCAATAAGTAAAAATTAGTCAGTGTTGCCAAGCAACCACAAAATCTTCCATAATTTCCTTTTAAATTTTACAAATTTTAAGTTTGATTAAAAAAGATCTCAAAATACCATGAACAATTTTGCAGCATGATTACAAAAAATAAATTACAACTATTAAAACTGCAAATAAAATCTTAATAATAGTTCTTGGATCAAAGTATCCTTAAACTCATTTTACTATAGGTTTTGAATTTATATAGATAATATACATAATTTCATAAAAGTATGTTCATTAACATCAGGTGTTAACTACACTGTTTCACAACAAAGTAAGGACTTTGAACTAACTAGCATTATATTTAATTAAAATGACATAAAGATAATTCCTACAAAAAAATGTTCCTTACTTAAAACTGTCTCTGCATATAATTAGGTTGCTTAGCAACCAATGAATAATTTTTTTTTTTAAATTTCTAAATTTCCAAATTTTTACAGGCATACAGGAGATTACAACTTAGTTAAAAATAGCAATTTGTGCTATTATAAAAAATGAAAACAATACCACAAATAATGTGTAACTGAATTAACATGTAATAAGGTATTCAGAGAACAGCCTGCCTCACCATTCCTTAATAATATAAATTAAAAATGATACTTCTAATATCATGTTCACAACATTTATTTTCAGGTACATTTAAGGTTCTATATTTTAATATTTTATAACTTAGTGATGATTATTTTTCAATTATTTACAATGTGATCAAACATATAAAGTATTTTTATTATGATGCACCTGTTTAAAATCCTTCCCAACTGAAGGGAATATTGGTTGCCTAGCTACCATTGAATATTCTTTGATTTTGCTGCTTCTTTTAACAATTTTAAGGATTGGTGATAATGTGATTCTACACTAATATCAACATAAAAATTCAACTGACCTATCATTGTTATAGATAAAGTATTTTTCATATTCTACAACTATAAAATGTTTAAAATTTGACAACAAGTACTGAAACTTAATGTTACTTTACATTTTCATACAGTCATTTTCAATCTAGATTAAAGCTTAAGATCAGTTGACAGTTGATCAATTCATAACATGCATAGGTTCAATAGAATTCTATAATTTAGAGTAAAATGACAAATGTTGTATTACACTAAACTTAAACTAATAAACATTTTGTAAAAATGATGGAAATTAGTAACTGGTATACTGACATCCAAAAATAATTAAAGGAGCCATTAAATAATATCTATACATCAATGATCCACACACTTGTTAATATAGCATTAGTCCTTAGAGCACCAGTTATGCAACACACTTGCAGTCTTATCTTATGAAGCATCTACTTGTATCATAAGCTATATTTGAAATGAAGAAAATAATGACAGTCCATACATGACCACTATGTTATAGGAACTCCAATTATACTCAAGAGTAAAAGACTGCTCTTTCTCTTTCCACCTTTTTCTCATAATTGTCAATATCCAACTTTATTTCTGTTCTCGGGATAACTGGTTTTGGCCACACAGTATTTTAGCCATGTCAGATTTGAAGAACTTCCCAATTTGTTCAAATAGACACTAATGTCTTGCTGCATCATTACTGTACTTCAGGTAAAAGACCTCTGGGAGGGAATTGTTTTAGTAAAAACATTTTTACCTCCACAGAGTTAATATGTTCTTTACATGTTATAACACTTGGCTCCATTGCACTTGCACATAAATGGTGGTATTTGGATAACAGTTTGAGGGCTTAACTTAAGAAATAACTTCATAGGGATTTTCTGGATCATCTATAAGCTGTAGGATATTGTGCCCATATCTTGATGACTTCAGGACAGTACACTTAGGCAACCTGTTGCATTGTTTTTCACTTTCCAGATATAAAAGTACCAAGCATGTTGAGACTGACACTTCCATGAAGTCCTAAAATACATATAAATTTAAATTTAAAAAGTTTGCATAGGATATAAATAGTACTTAAGTAAATAATACTTAAAATTAAGATTATATTTAACTGAATATTCCTTTTGCAACTGAAAATACTATAGCATAGGAGAATAATAATAAAATTCATGGCAAAGGAACACATCTGACAAGAAAAAAAATATAGAAATCTACCTTGATAATATTTTTAAACATGTTTTTACAATATGCACATGAAAAAATATGTCAAACAAGAGGGCCATGATGGCCCTGAGGTCGCTCACCTGTATATAGCCACCCCCCCCACCACGGACCAATTTTTACCCAAGGGCTTTTATTTGTTTATTTGAACAGACTTGGTAGACACCCATAATAAGATGTTTCATGCTAAACATCTAAGTTCTAGCTTTTGTTTGTTTGTTTGTCTCATTTTACGCCCTTTTCAACAGTATTTCAGTCATATAGGCGGGTAGTTTCCTAACCATCGTTCCTGGAGAGTTACACCAGTACTAGACTACCTTCCTCCGCGCTAAACTACCAAAGCATCTCCCGGGAATCGAACCCACGCCAGAGAGGTAACTGGATTAGAAGTCATCGACTCTAACCCCTCGACCACGGAGGCGGTTAAGTTCTAGCTCATTGGGTTTTTTAAAAGAAGATTTTTTAAGTTTTTACTATACACATATAGTTAAAAACAATGACACCCCTGGGGCAGGGCCAGTTTTGACCCCCGGGCTTTTATTTAAACAAACTTTGTAGATATTTACTTAAAGATGTTTTATGCTTAATATCTAAACTCTAGCTATTTGGGTTTTTCCAAAGAAGATTTTTAAGTTTTTGCTATACACATATAAGGAAAATCAATGACACCCGGGGCGGGGCCAGTTTTGACCCCAGGGCTTTTATTTGAACATACTTGGTAGACACCCATTAGAACATGTTTCATGCTAAATATCTTAGCTCTAGCTCTTTGGGTTCTTTAAAAGAAGATTTTTTAAGTTTTTACTATATGCATATAGGGAAAATCAATGACCCCCTGGGGCGGGGCCAATTTTGACCCCAGAGCTTTTATTTGAACAAACTTGGTAGACACTCACTAGAAGAATGATGTTTCATGCCAAATATCTTAGCTCTAGCTCTTTGGGTTCTTTAAAAGAAGATTTTTTAAGTTTTTACTATATGCATGTAGGGAAAATCTATGACCCCCTAGGGCATGGCCAATTTTGACCTCAGGGCTTTTATTTGAACAAACTTGGTAGACACTCATTAGAAGATGTTTCATGCAAAATATCTTAGCTCTAGCTCTTTGGGTTCTTTAAAAGAAGATTTTTTAAGTTTTTACTATATGCATATAGTGAAAATCAATGACCCCCTGGGGCGGGGCCAATTTTGACCCCAGGGCTTTTATTTGAACAAACTTGGTAGACACTCACTAGAAGATGTTTTATGCAAAATATCTTAGCTCTAGCTCTTTGGGTTCTTTAAAAGAAGATTTTTTAAGTTTTTACTATGGCCATATAGGGAAAATCAATGACCCCCTGGGGCGGGGCCAATTTTGACCCCAGGGCTTTTATTTGAAGAAACTTGGTAGACATTCACTAGAAGATGTTTCATGCCAAATATCTAAGCTCTAGCTCTTACAGTTCTTTAAAAGAAGATTTTTTAAGTTTTTACTATATGCATATAGGGAAAATCAATGACCCCCTGGGGCGGGGCCAATTTTGACCCCAGGGCTTTAATTTGAACGAACTTGGTAGACACTCATTAGAAGATGTTTCATGCCAAATATCTAAGCTCTAGCTCTTAGGGTTGTTTAATAGAAGATATTTAAAGATTTTTCTTTCGGTTGCCATGGCAACCAGAGTTCTGCATGGAATTAAATTCTTTGAACAAATTTTAAAGGTGACCACCAAAGGAACATTCCTGTGAAGTTTGGATGAAATTGGCTCAGTGGTTTATGAGGAGATGTCATTTAAAGCAAAAGTTTACGGACGGACGGACGGACGACGGACGGACGACGGACGGACGCCGGACGAAAAGCGATCACAAAAGCTCACCCTGTCACTTTGTGACAGGTGAGCTAAAAATGTTATGGGCAAACTAACCTGATCCCTCTACACAAACACCAAACACATGGAACTTTCTTGGTATCCTAAAACATATTGGACCAACTGGTTGAGAATGATGGGAAAAGTGCACTTGTTGGGCATAATCCCAAAGGTTGGAGTACTTTACATCAAGAGTGCATGGTGAAGTGCCTGAAATGTACAGTAGTTAAATTTATAAATTATGTTTTATTGATATACAGTTTTTACAATTTATAGAACAGTCAGATTTTCCTGAGGTCCTCATGTTTTGCTAATAAGGCACCTGCAGATATGATTCCTTTAATAAGTATCCTTTCTAGAAAGCTTGTCATAGGGCTGTGACTTTTTTTAATTAAAATTAGTTAAATCATTTCAAACAAGTTCAGGCTTAGGTATTCATTGATGTGCTTCTAAGTGTGAACAAACATTTTGATGTGACATCATATGCCTTACAGAAACATAGTGTAAATACATGCTAAGTGTACTGTAAGCGTTACACTTAAATCTAGTTGTGTCAATGAAAAAATATATGTCTATGCTCTCATTCAATACCCTTCATTTATTGAGTCTGGTTATGAGAAATTATGGAAACTGCAACATCTCCATATTTTTAATTTTAAAGATCTGAAAAATTTACACAGCTCAAACAATGGAGCCAGAGATATATTTTCACTTTTGGGATACAAGTTTTCAACAGCTCAAATTTTTATTCTCATACATGTACTGTACAGTATGCATGGAAGAAAGTAAAGATTAAAATTCTTGAAAATCTTGAATTTCCTCACTTTGATGATTGTTTTATCTAAGAGATTAATTACATAAATTTTGGTATTAATTGCTTTGAGTAAATAATTACTTGGCTGCCATTTTCCATGTTGCTATCAACAAACCGTTGTCCAGGAACTGCAATTGTTTCTACTTCCGGGTATAATTATTTTCCGATAAAATACATATTTAAGCAAAAATACTAGAAAAAATAAATACTCACCTAACCCGAATAATCCAGTTATATATAAGTTTTGTCAAAGCAGACGTTGTCAGTGTAAAATATTCTTTAAAACACCGAAAAACATCGAATCAATTCACCAATATTTTATCAACAATCAATGTCAGATGACGTAATCAGTTGTCCTCGTAAAAATCTTTTCCCGTGATAATTTTACTTGCTGTCATAGGATGAACGGTAGCAAATTATTTTTGCCGTTGATTACTCTGTATGAATCAGGACCCAATGTGCTGACAAGTCATTTATTATATAATTAAGCGCTGTTTTACTGCCAGATGAACGGAAAAAATGAGGAAAAAATGGCGTCAAAGATCTCGCATTTTCTCGATAACGACGTCAACGTCAAGAAGCCCCATTTTTGCATTCCACTACACATATATGTTAAGTGTCCTAATATCATGGTATTGATTATTAAAATTGCATTACATTTTTCAGTACGTAAATGAGTACCTACTACATAATTAAGACCAAGTCAAACTAATTTTCATAGTTAACTTTATTGTTATCCTTATATTTGCAGTAATTTCGCTAATGGTCGACAAATACATTATTTCAAACCATTATCCAATCACTCAAATACATTAACCAAGAAACGCAGAGCGTTCATAACTGTCATTATTACATTTAGATAATACTGATTTGTGTTTGTTGTAATTATCCGTGAACTTTTCAATAATTATATATAGATTGCTACTTTATAGTGTATTTCCGTTTAACAGATAGCATGAGATATATCCAATACTATTTGGCATCATCCGATATTTTTGTTAAAGTTGTGTCACTTGCTGATTGTAGGGTTAACCCATTTGCGCCTGTTGTCTACTTTTGTAGACACTAGCAGTTATCAGTACACTAGGACCTAATTATGAGCGCACATTTGTTTATCATTGTTATTCTATTCTTGTTGTCATGATTAGCGTTAATTGGACTATTTTGCTAGACAAAATGCAGACCACTATGTTATTTGCAGTGTGTTTTCAACAAGAATGTGATAAAAATTGCCTTGAAAATATTATTGAAAATGGCTAGCAGAAACAGGTATGTAAAACTTTATATTGTTTTTATTTTATATCATAAAGTATGATTGTTTTATATTGTATAATTATATTTCTGCTCAAATTCCTGTTTTATAATTCAGAAATATGTATAAAATGTGTTATGACAGTCAATTTAGATTTTGTCTACAAAAGTAGACAATAGGATCAAATGGGTACGTTTTATCATTATGAAAATATTTTGTTGTTTACAGAAGATACACAGTAAATGAAATCATATCAATGCTTGAGGATGAAGGTAACTTTGAAAGGGCAGATATACATGTTCAACCACCTCCTGTAGATGAACTGACAGATGAAGATAGTGCAAGTGAAGATGAAGAAGTAGGTTACAACAACCTCAGTGGACGTCAGTTAGACCAACAAGCAACAGCGACAGTTATTCGCCTAGATGGACGTCATGTTGTTGATTCAGCATCAGACTCCGATCTAGTTAGTAATAAATAAATAATAAAAAAAAAAAATAAATAAATAATAAATAGATAAATAAATAAATACGAAGCAAGTTAGTAAATAATGTACAGTAAATCCAGTTGAGAATAAGATTTTTTATATTTATCATATTTTATTTTTCAGGAAACTGACCATTCTTCAGATTCTTCTGATACAGATGAATACGAAGTGCCTGCAAATATTGCAAAAAGACCTCAAGTAAGAATTGCACTACGGGATCCAGCTCCGCGTCCCAAACGACCTGCACCAGTAAAGAGGAAGTGGGAAAATAAAGATCTACCTGAGCAAGATAAAGACAGATTCACTTGGCATGGCTCAAATATAGACAAAAGTCGATGGCCGCAAACACCAGATGGCATCTTCAACTTATTTTTTGATGATGACGTGATCAACATGATTGTTGAACAGAGTATAAGATATGCTGGTTCAAAAGGCAATCATTCGTTTTCAACTTCACCCCAAGAAATTAGGATCTTCCTAGCAATTCTGCTTATATCAGGCTATAACACTGTGCCAAGACGGAGACAGTTCTGGAGCCGGGATGATGACGTAAGGAATGAGGCAATAGCTCGTACAATGCCGCGAGACAGATTCGACATATTGGTGCGATATGTACATCTTTGCGATAACAACAATCTTGACAGAGAGGACAAGTTTAGCAAAGTAAGACCACTGCTATGTCTGCTGAATGAGCGCTTCTTGTTATACCTTTTGAAAGAGAAAAACCTTTCAATCGACGAAAGCATGATCCCGTACTATGGGCGACACGGAGCGAAACAGTTTATTCGTGGGAAACCAATTAGGTTCGGTTATAAGATGTGGGCGTTAACGACAGCACTTGGATATGTTTTACAATTTGAGCCCTATCAAGGGGCAAAAGGCCACCAAACCCATGATCCTGGCTTCCTTGGAATGGGCGGAGCAGTAGTTATGGACCTGCTTTCAGAGCTGCAGAAAGATGATGCATACCATATGACTTTTGATAATCTATTTACTTCCCTGAAGCTCGTGGACCGGCTTACAGATATGGGAATATCTTGCACAGAAACCATCCGTGCCAACCGAATAGAAGATTGTCCTGTCAAAAATGTAAAAGACATGGGAAAAACGCAACAAGGAAACTATGACAAGAGCTGTCCGTAAGACAGCGCGCTCGACTTTTTTATTGCTTGCCAATAAAAAAAGTTTTTGCAGTAAAAGGCAATACAAGAATCTCTGTATTTTTAAAGTGAACAATGGCCATGAGCATTAAGATATTTAGTGAAGAATTATTTATTGGACTGGTACTAAAAACTTAACCAAGATTCTAAGTCGATAAAAGGCCTTAATTTTTAAAACAAATCCTTGACAGAGTTACCTTCTCTTGCGTACAGATGGGGGTAATGATGTGAAATAGCATTAAAAGTTTCAAAGCAATATCTCAAAGGGTTAAGGCAATAAGTGGATTTTACCCATATTCAATGTATTTTCTAAGTCAAAAAGGGGCATAATTCTGTCAAAAACCTTGACAGAGTTATGTCCTCTTGTCTGTTGATGAAGGTCGTGATGGTAAACAAGTATGGTCAGTTTCAAAGCAATACCTCCAATGGTTTTGAAATAAAGTGAGGTGGTACAAAAAACTTAACCAAGCTCAATACACTTTCTAAGTCAAAAAAGGGCCATAATTCTGTCAAAAACCTTGACAGAGTTATGTACTCTTGTCTGTAGATGGAGGTTATGATGGTGAACAAGTATGGTAAGTTTCAAAGCCATACTTGTAATACTTCTGAAATAAAGTGGGGTGGTACGAAAAACTTAACCAAGGTGTGACGCCAACGCCAACGCCGACGCCGACGCCGACGCCGGGGCGAGTAGGATAGCTCCCCTTTTCATAGAAAAGTCGAGCTAATAAAAGGTATGACGCACACAAAGGTCTGATAGTGGTGAGGTGGAATGACAACAATATAGTGAATGTGGTGTCAAATTGCCATGGAGTTGAACCATTGCAACAAGCAACACGGTGGTCAAAGCAGGCAAAAGCTAGGGTGCGCCTTCCGTAGCCATACCTTATAAAGCATTACAACCAGACAATGGGAGGTGTGGACAGGATGGATCAAAATGTTGAGATATCTCTATCAGATCCAAGAAGTGGTGGTGGCCAGTGTTTATGAATTGCATTGACCTTGCGGTGCAGCAAACCTGGCACATTTACCGTGCTACTGATGCAGGATTGAGGCAACCATTAGATCTGTTAGGTGTCAGACGAGCTCTGGTTACTGTGCTGCTTGCTCAGGAGCGTACACCTGCTGTCAGCCCTGGCAGACCAAGAGGTAGGATGAGGCCATTGTCAAGAAGAATTCCAGACCATATCCGACTTGATGGTAAAAATCATTACGCAGAGCCAGCAAAAGAAGTGCGCTGTTCATTGTGTGGAAAAAAATGCAGGACACAATGTTCCAAATGTAATGTTGGAGTGCACAGGAAATGCTTTGAAATGTTTCACAGTGTTTAGGTATTCATACGATCAAAGCCAAAAGACATGAACAATAATAATTCATATTCAGAATGAATTTCAGAGTGAACACTTCTGTGCCTAATGTCTACTTTTGTAGGAAAAGTAATAGAAAACATTGCCTGTATAAACTTTAAGGATTTTTTCAAGTAAAAGTTATCAAATAAACCAACAATAGGTTATCTGGACATATATTCTATATGTGTTTTACATATACCCATTTGCGCCTGTTGTCTACTTTTGTAGACAAAATATTAAAACACTAAAATAAAAAATACAGTACTTATATTTGAAAAATAAACGGATATATGTTATAACTATATGGTTACTATATGTTTTATACATTTCTTATATAAAAATAAAATTCCGGCACAAATGGGTTAAAGTCGTTAAACCTGATAACATTCGTGAACAAACAGTTAACCCAAATGTCATGTGTTGAGTTTTGTTTTAAATAAGAAATAATGCATGGAGACATGCAGGTCTACCAGAAAAAAAACAAATTCGCTAAATGAACTTAGCTGTGTCGGTTGAAACTTAAAACCCCCAAAAGTATATTTAATTATTATGGAAATGAATAGCGTTCAAATCAATATTGGAATTATAAATATTTGCAAAGACCAAGACCTGAAACAATTAAGAATAAGTGTTACAGAATACCACATTTTCAACACTATTTTCTGCCCATTATCCTATTTTTCATATCAGTAACAAAACATATACTTATCTTATTTGAACGTTTATCTTTTTTCAGTTATTACCTTCATATATAACAATTCAAGCTACCGTGATATTATAATTGGAACAAATATATCAATAATATTATAGAGAACGATCAAAATTGTTTATATTGCAGTAAAATTATATACTGGAAAGTTTGCTTTGTGATCGTCGCAATTATACCGTTTATTTCTATTTAAAAATGACTGCCTGAGAAAAGTCCAGCAGATATACAATTCAAAATTTATAACCTTTCACAAACACATTGAACGAAATAAAAAAAAAAATGTTATAGTCAGTCCCGATGAGTAGTTCTGAATATCTTCGGTTTAAATTTATATTAAATAAAAAAAAAAAACGAGAAAAAAAAATTCAATTTACAAGATATCTTGATGGCAAAATTGTAAAATCAGTTTCAAGATTATTTATAATATATGGATGTTCCTGATCCCTTTTACAACACCCAGTTTCATAATTTATTTTCAGTTGAAGAAATTACTTGATTAAACATAAGCGTTCGGTTACATTTATACCCTAGAACATACCTTTTGTATATGGTATATAACGATTATAGTTTATAAAAATAATCATTTCTATAAAAAAGATCTTGATTTTTCCCTCTCTCTTTTCTTTGAATGTCGCTAGTAGCCGACATTGATAATATTAAAAACCATTATCTATTCAACTAAACAACTTAACAAGGGACAACGAGCTTTAGTAAATGTCACTGTTACATTAAAATAATGCTGATTTGCGTTTGTTAGAACTACTTGAGAATGTTTATAGGCGCATTATGTCTTTCTATACAAATGGCAAACATGAATTTTATGACACTGAAATAATGATTTGAGTGAATGTTAGATGCTCATCACTTGAAAAAAAAATGTTGAATATGAATTATTTGTCGTATAAAGGGGATCTTGTAAAGACAGTAGTCTTTTACTTTGAGGAAAAATAATGTTGTCAAGCACATTTTGTTATAGTTATTATTTCTACTTTGCATTGAAATTAACATTTGAATTGAATTTGAACTGAGCATTATAGCACAAGTCAGGTCAAATTTATAAATTTACCATGAATTTTGTGGCGATTAAACTGCAACAAAATTATAGCAAGATATGAAAGACGACATTGTATTTGGCAATTGGCATGTATGTAGGATGATAAAGGAAATTGTTTCATCAATGATCAATGGTTTAATTAAATATGTTCTATCTTAGGTTATTGAAGGTTGTTCAGCAAGACATTATTGTTGTGTGTGTGCATGTCAGTGGTATTTACGAAACTTCTCTTCGGTCTTGTTCTATTTGTAAAGTTCTGGTATGCCTTCTTGCATACTGTGAAATCACCCCAAGGATATGTTGCCTGCTTTTTAAAATTTGTACTTCGACGTTTTATCTGTGATATACAGGCTTGCAGTTATACAGTATCCCTCATGTACAGACTCAATCAAACCGAGTCTGCAATTCTTATGTAATTTTGTTGTGATTAATGCTTCCGAGGGATCACTTTGTTTCCGGATTTTCATAGCCTGTTATCCCCTACCTATATCCCAATACCGCCCGAAATCGATCACAACTTCTTTTCGATCGGCCCCGGAAATGTTTTACTTTTTCCCTTATATGTCGCGAAACGACGCGTGCGTACTCCTGATGTTTACCTCGACTACAATAAATGTCAAAGCAATGAATTATGATGATTAGAAAGGGAAATAGGTGTTATTTAAATTCCAAATAATGAACATTAATGTTTTTCACTAATCCTAAAATTTTCCCATTAATAAATCAAGATTATTTTCTCAAAATATTTCATAAACGATCTCTGTTTTTGTCCGTCTGCAAAAATGGATATTTTCCAGGGCCACGCACCTGCTATTTTATAGTAAAAAGTATACTACACTACAAAAGTTACGTTTAAAATATATGTATATGCTTAACTGTGAAATTCTTAATTGAAGGTTGATTAATAAACAATGTCACACTAATTAAACCATATTCTCATGTAATCTCTGATTTTTTTCCAGCAAACTGTCACCAGAGGGGGGTCATATAGACCTTATGACTCTGACAACCTGACAAATGCATATTTGTCAGTTATGCAAAGTGAGATGTCCATCAGGAAAGCTTCCAGTTTTTTTTGGTGTTCCTTACGCTACGTTGAATGACAGGGTAGCAGGCAGAGTTGATGTTATAAAGTCTGGAACATCTCCACTCTTTTCACAGGAGCAGAAGACACTATTATCAGGACATTTGAAGACAATGTCTGAAATAGGATATGGAATAGTAGGCAGGAAACAATGGACTTGGCCACAGACTATGCCATCCACCTTGGATTGAGAGGCAAAGAACAAAAACCTCTGACTGATAAGTGACTCTACAAATTCCTTGGCCGCTGTTAAGTACAATTTATTAGAAAAACCACATCGTATGTTCAATATAGATAAGAAGGGTCTGTGCACTGAGCACAAACCCCCAAAGGTGGTTGCAGGGAAACATAGTAAGACTCAGGCAGTTACATCTAGCAAGTCCAAGCTGGTTTGTCCAACACAGATATCTTCTGTCAGTTTATGCAAGATCATCTTGTTAAGAACCTACCGGCTAGGGACAAAGATAACCCTGTCTTAGTTTTATATGATGGGCACAAGAGCCACTGCTCACTTGGACTAATAGACTAATAGAATAGGCAAAGTCTCAACACATCATTCTCTTCGTTTTGCTACCTCATTGTTCGCACATACTCCAGCCTCTAGACGTTAGCTGCTTTGGGCCGTTTGAGGTAGCTTGGAATGCGGCTTGTCATAAGTACATGCGGGAGTCAGGTGGCTGCACAGTTACTAGGTATGATGTCTGCCATATTGCCTGTAAAGTATTTACATCCACACTGACTGTGAACAAAATATGATAAACAAGAACAACAAGGAAAGGCGGCCATATGACCCAGCAACAAGAACCAATGGCAAGGAGCCCAGGCGGACCCCAAACAAAAACAGGACAGGGCAAAGACAGAACACGGACAGGTCAATCACCAAATGATAAATAATTTGTAACTGATTAGGAATTCAAAGAAAATAATAATAGGCCCACAAAGGGGAAGGGGACAGGAGACCGGGGGAAGGGAGGGGGGTAATCAAAGAAATAAAAACTAGAGGCAAAGGGGAAGATACTTACCGTAGACGAGAAAACAACAAGGGACACAAGCAAAAGTGTCACCAAAACAGTATGAAACAACATAGACATACATCTGAGGAACACAGTGGGGCGCCGCCTTGGAACGGTCAGCAGCATAATAATGACTGCTGGGGAGTTTAAACCGGTTAATGATGCACCAAACCTCGCTCTTAGCCCCACCATGTTCCTATAAACGAGACAGTGTAAATAAAATGAATCCCCGCCAAGTGAAATTCTAACAGTTGTCATGGTTACAAAACGTTTAATAAGTAAAACACTAAAATGATCATGTAGAAACATATAAAAGTAAACCCAATGACCATAACAAAAGTACTCAATGTCCTAAAGGAAGACAGAGCAACAAGAAAATCACCTACAAGGGCCCGACGAAGCAAGAGAGTCTCATAGAGTCTCCCACTTGGTCCGTCAGATGCAATCAAAAGAGGAAAGCGTAGTGTTCAACTGTAAAAGGGTTGAACACTAAACATGCAGTATGTCTTAAAACAGTAGGGACATAACCTCTTTTAATAAAACGTTTAATGATTTTAGTAAAAACAGCAGAAAAATTACCATGACCCAAAATCTTACGAAGTTTGTAAATCACATCGCCATAAAAACCAGGCTGGCTAATCCCTTGTCGCAGAAGAGTTTTTAAATCACATCAGCATTCAGGAAGTGTGGTCTTTATCCATTCAATGATGATGTTGTACCAGACCATCAGATAGCGCCAGCTACTTCATTTTCGCAGGAGGCTAGACCAATTTTTAGCAAACCGACAGCTGCAACAAAGTCAGCAGAGAGTTTTCTCGTGGAAAAGGGTGGTCAATTACTTAAAAATGTTGAAACTGCACACAAATCAAGAAATACACTAAGCAAAGTAATTGCAGGAAAACCAATTACTGAAGATGATGTTGTAAAGAAAATTAAAGAACACAAAGAAAATCAAACTTCAAAACAAAAACCATCTAAATCAAAATCTAGCAAAATTGTATTGCAGAAACAAAAAGCAAAATCTCCTACTCCTGGAACATCAGGTATTCCTATGAAAAGAGCAAACAAAAACAACAAACATTAGAGAGAGAATAGATGAATATGAAAATGAATCTTCAGATGATGAAATACCTGAAAAAGATAAGTGTCTTGTATGCAAAAAATTCTCTCCTGATACTAGCAAAAGACCTTTCATAATCATGGTCAGGTGGGGTCAGTGTGATAAGTGCGATGGTTGGGTTCATTTGGCTTTCTGTACCCCAGTAAGAGTCTTAAGAAAAGGGGACAGATTTTTATGCCCCTACTGTGACAGTCTCACTACGCAAAATGAACAATAGAACAATTTATTTTGCAGAAACATCCAGAGATGTCGCCCCAGCCAGTGTTATACCCCCGTAACTTACGAGTGTCATGTACTATAACTGTTTTATCGCAATGACATGTTTTCTTTTTTGTAACAGAATCAAATAAATAAATAAATCGTTAGCTACATTACAGTTATATATGATAAGGCAGTTTTTTCAATTTGTTTTCGCTGCCGCAAAAAAAATATACAAAATACATCCAATGTTAGAGGCGGATTGTAAACTGTTACCAAGATTGATTCAACATTAAAGACTTTTTTCAGTGGAAATAATTCATTCAGCGGATGTACCTTTTGATTAAATGAGAGTAAATTTAATTTCATTAATTATCTTTGTTAACATTTTTCATTGTATTAATATATATATTTATTTTATTTTATTGATTCCATTTTTTTTGCTACTGGGAATGGTCGTTACCACTGCCCCATTGGAGCCTCTATTTAAAAAAAACTGCATTGATATATACAAAGTGCGAAAAAAACTCAACCGATATATAACAGTCGAGTTTTTTCCTATATAAATCAATGAAAAAACTGTACTGTTATATATCAATACAGTTTTCAAATGCTCATTGAAGTGTACTGAGTATAATGGGTTAGTAAGAACAAAGGAAAAGTTATAAACACTAGATATATTACCACATTATTTGTCAATTTATTCACGAAAACCTACAACACATGTGCCTGGCTCTTTTTTGTTTGCATTTTCAATTTGTTGAAACCCAATATTGCCATTTAAATCAAAATCACATTTGCAAGGCCTTATCTTTCGCTTTAGCAATTTGATTTATAAAGAGAAACAAAATGTTTGAAATTCTGATTTGAAGCCCCCTCGTTTACATTAAGCTGGCTAATGGCTGACATAGACACTATTGAAAACCATTATCATATCATCCAAATACATTAACCAAATATATAAAATGTCCATAATTGTCACTATTGAGATTAGATAATACTGATTTGTATTTTTCATAATAGTTTGTGAACATTTGAAAACGTTTATCTGGAACTCTATATTGTCGTGTCTTTACCATCTATAGATCAAACAGGGTAATGAAACTTATTTATTTATCAAACATAAACATATCGCTATTTAATGTTCCTTTTAACTTGACTTTTGTGTTTATATCGTTTTCCTGAGTTTGAGATTGTATTTTATTATATAATACTAATATAACGTTTACTCATTTGATTTCTAGAGTTATCGAAAGTGTTTTCAAGGAAAATATTTACTTCATTATCGATTAAAACTCACTTTTATTGTTCACAGTAAATTTATAACGCTATTATTATTATTATTATTATTATTATTATTATTATTATTACTATTATTATTATTATAAATTCAACGTCTACAGCACCGACTTCCCTCAACTGATTTTTTTAAATTTATGTAACAAGTTAGTTTTCAAGTTGTCGTGAATACAATAATAAAGTATAAAATCATTTATAAAGAAACGATTTAATCAGATCGCCACGTTATCATGTGGTAATTGACGAATCAAAATGTTCGAATTCGTTTTGTAAATGATCGTTCTTTACTATGAGAAATGTAGCTTGTTAGTAAACTTGAAAGAAATGTTTAGTTTTTTTGTTCAATTTGTGAAACAGAATAATATTACATAGTACTTATGGTAACAGGATACCAAAAATAAA